TTAAAACTTAAAATAGAAAAATTAAATTTAAACTTAGTAGTTATTTACATACCTCATTACCTTTAAACTTATTAATAATTACACATAGAAATATTAATTAAACCAATTATTTTTAATTTAGACAATATTAACTATTACACGTATAATTACCCAGCGACCACGTTTTCTTCCTTTTAAATATTTCTTTATTACCACATTCGTCTTCAGAAAATATGTATCTCATTAAAAATACGCGATACTAGATATTTTCTGATACTCTTGCCGTAATAGTTGTTAAACCTATGCTCGACGTTTTCTTTTATCGAGAATAATACTAATATATTTGCAAAATGTTTTAGACTTTAGAGATTTAAAGTCAACATGTTCAGGATTTATTTGTTTATAATGATTATTTATTTTTAAAAGTACAGAAGAACTTAATAATAAATAAACTGCTCAGTAACGAGGATTTCCGCAAAAAAAAAACAAGAGTGACTGGATTTAGCGGGAATATCTTTAAATACTATCAATTGTCTGCTTGCTCTGGCTGCCATCAATATATTCGAAAAATTCGCAATATGACGCATCAACATATTGTGAAGAAATTTATGTGATGAGAAACTGGCAAATGTACAATCGTACTAATAATAATAATAATAATAATAATAATAATAATAATAATAATAATAACCCCCCCGTGGGACCACCTTGCCGTGGTGGGGGGGCTTAAGACATCCCGTAGTGACTTTCCAGATGCAAATAACACCTTGCAATTACAATGATGTCGAACTAACGGTCCCGACCCGTATAGATTTATTATGGAGAGAAGATTAAGAAATCGTATAATTGGGCCGCTTCCCGGGGGCGATCGCCGGGGCGCACCTGGAGCCGATGCTGGGTGCTCCAGCATGCGAACCATCGGCGGTGAGGAGTTGAGCAGGCGGGCTCCCACCGATAAAAATATTACAGCCGATTCTAAGAGATCAAAGCGAAATTGTCATCTGTCACGTTGTATAACATCACCTTCTTTTGTAGATAAACCAGCTATGGATGTTGCGCAGGCGGCTAACGTCTTATTTCCTGCGTCCACCAAAGCCGGTAAAGAAAGAGTACGCATGAAATGGGATGATGATATTAACTGTTTTATCATGCGTACTTACTATTTAGTAACGAAATTAGAGACAGATTTAACTATGTACAGAAGGAAAATGTATAATAATTTCATATTAAAATATCCGAACTTAAATGTTTCTGAGCAAAGAATTGCAGATCAAAGAAGAACCATAATAACACATAAACTGCTTGCAGATGATATTCTGAAAACAATTCAGACCGAAGTAGCTACAATGCTCAAATCAGACAATTCCCTACAAAATGCAAGCATTGTTGATTCATCTAATAGCAAACAGATACTCCAATTCTCACAAAACACTGAACCTACATCCGGCACACTAATATTAACAACACTTAAACATACACCTGAAGCGACACAAGTTATAACACAAAATTCGACCACAACACAAACTCCTTTAAACAATATAATGCCTGCAGATACAATAAACGACTTTCAAGAATACGACAGTAGTAAAATAATAGATAATCTAATGGACTCATTGAAAGAATCTCTTTTAAAATACTCAGGACTAGATCCAGCATTGAGACCAAAATTACCTAAACTACATGAAGGAAAACGACTTATAGATATAATAACACTTTTTAATCAAAAAATATTAATAAACTTTTTCAATGAAGATTCCAATATAATAGACATACATAATTTGATATACTGTTCGGCCTTAGTTATTAGTAAAGAGCTAGGTTACAAAAGCTACAATAATACAACAAATTATAGCAAACAACAAAAGGAAACAAAAAAGCCGTTTTGGCAAACACGACTACAAAGAGATATAGAAAAACTAAGAGCAGAAATAGGTAGAGTCACGCAATATATTAGAGGAAATAGGTCCAGAAAACTAGTTTCAAAAGTAAAACTTATTCTAAAAAATAATCAAAAACACACTAAACACGAGAGATTAAATGCAAACGCAGAAGAAGTTTTAGACACATTAAAACAAAAATTAGCCCTTAAAGTTCACAGGCTTGACAGATACCTTAAATCATTACGGCGTAAAGAAGATAACAAAATGTTTAAAGTAAATGAAAAATTATTCTACAGAAATTTAAAACAGAATTTGAATAACCCTCAACCAGATACACACAATTCTAACTTTCCAACCGCAGAAGAACTTAAATCCTACTGGAGTAGTATTTGGGAATCAGACATGGGACACAATACTGAATCTTTATGGATTACAAAAGAAGAGCAAAAGTGGGATCATATAGCTGAAATGAGCTTTGATGAAATAACTGAAGAAGATATTACAATAATAACAACAAAACAAAAGAGCTGGAAGTCTCCAGGAGTCGATTCTATTCACAATTTTTGGTACAAGAAATTCTTTATTCTACACAAAATTATAGCAAAAAATTTAACTCAAATAGTATATAGACAACAAGAAATCCCAGACTTTTTGACCCGTGGTATCACATACTTACTACCTAAGGGCTATGATACCGGAAATCCCGAAAAATATAGACCTATCACCTGCCTGTCTACTCTTTATAAAATTTTAACATGTTGTATCGCGAGAAAAATTACCAAACACATTGAAACAAATAACATTTTAGCGGAAGAACAAAAAGGCTGTAGACAGAATCATATGGGATGTAAGGAGCAGTTAATTATTGATTCAACAATAATTAAACATGCTCAAACTAAAAAACGAAACCTTTACTGTACTTACATTGATTATAAAAAGGCATTTGACAGTGTTCCACATTCCTGGCTTATTCAAGTATTAAAATTATACAAAATTAACCCAACTCTGATTAACTTCTTAAGATCAATAATGTCTCTGTGGAAAACTTCTTTACAATTCCAAAATAATCAAATTAAAATAGTTACTGATGACATTTTCATAAAAAAGGGTATTTTTCAGGGAGATTCATTAAGTCCCATATGGTTCTGTCTCGCTCTCAACCCACTGTCTACCATACTTAGCCAATCTAATTACGGATATATTCTGAAAGATAGAGCTGGATACAGCACCTCTATTAGTCACCTTATTTACATGGATGATTTAAAATTATTTGCTAAGTCTGAAAAGGAAATGAAAATTTTAATAAATCTTACGCAAGAATTTAGCAGTGATATTGGAATGCAATTTGGCCTTGATAAATGCAGAACTGTGAGCATGAAACGTGGAAAATTACATGAACTAAACATAGATACTACAAGTAATGAGATTATAGAATGTCTCGAACCTGGACAATTTTATAAATATTTAGGTATAGAACAAACCAACCAAATAGATCATAAAAGAATTAAGGACAACATTACAAAAGAATACGTGAATAGGGTCAACCTCATCTGCAAAAAGCAACTAACTGCAAGAAACCTGATAAAGGCAATTAACACCTTTGCTATACCCATTTTAACATATTCTTTTGGAACAATTAGGTGGTCCAAAACAGACACAATTAATTTGGAACGAAAAACTCGCACAGTACTCACTAAATTTAGATACTTGCATCCCAAATCAGCTGTTGAAAGATTGACAATTAAGAGAGACAAAGGCGGAAGAGGTCTTATTGATATAACCGTGCTCAGAGAGAACCAAATCATGCGTCTTAAAAACTTCTTCCTTGAGAAGTCAACAAGCAGCAATATCCATAAAGTCATAGTTCACAATGATACTAACTATACTCCACTTAGACTCGCCGCAAACCAAACTCAAGAGACATATAATAAAATTGATCAAGAAAAAGAAAAAATAAAACAATGGAAACAAAAGGAATTACATGGTAGACATGCTAATGACCTATGCCAACAACATATAGATATATCAGCATCAAATAAATATTTAACAATAGGCACATTATTTGCCGAAACAGAAGTTTTTATAAATGCCATCCAAGATCAAGTCATCAGTACTAAAAACTATAGAAAATTTATAATTAGAGAACCAAATCTTTTAAATGACAAATGCAGAAAATGTAATTTAGTACCAGAAACTATACAGCATATCACAGGAGCATGTCAAAACTTAGCATCAACAGATTACACCCACAGGCATAATCAAATTGCAAACATAATACACCAAAAGATAGCCCAGAAACATAAACTCATCGATAACAATTTACAACCATACTACAAATATAAACCCAACCCTGTGTTAGAAAACACCTCACATAAACTATATTTCGATAGAGCCATACTTACTGATAAGACCATCCATTACAATCGACCCGATATAGTTTTGCAAGACAAACTTAACAACATAGCCTTTCTAATTGACATAGCTGTACCAAATACGCATAATATTCAAAAAACAATAGCCGAAAAGATTAGTAAATATAACGAACTGAGCGAAGAAATAAAAAGAATATGGAAATTAAATAAAGTTTTCATCGTCCCAATTGTACTCTCAGCTACAGGATTAATACCAAAATATTTGCATCACTGCCTTAAGTTATTAGATTTACCCTCAAATTTATATATTAAAATGCAAAAAGCAGTTATTTTAAATACATGTCGCTTAGTGCGAAAATTTTTACAAATCCCAGAAACTGCTCTGGATAATACATTAATAATACCAGCAAATGATGACTACTTGGCTTAAAGCCCGTATCATCATAATACCCTACATGGAGAAAAAAAAAAGAGAAAAGAAAATAATAATAATAATTGTCAGGAAATTCATGCAAATAGATTGTCAGGAAATTCATGCAAATAGAAGTAAACGAAATAGGACCTCATGAAAATACATAAATACGAGTATACACACCTCACGCTGCATTTGCTTTGGTTTCGGCCCGTAAATGTAGTTCAATTCCAGTCCAAGGACTGAGAAGTGAAAAACACTTTCCGAAAATAATAATAATAGTGGTCAGAGCCCGTAAACCACAGTGAGGGCCCTTGGACGGAAGTTGTGGTGAGTCAGTGTGCGAATCTTACGCCCATGGACCCCGTCATTATAACGCCGGACGATGTAGCTGAGGCGGTCCGAAGGGCCCCGAACTGGAAAAGTCCGGGGCTCGACAGGCTGCATCACTACTGGCTGAAGGGGTTCGTGGTGTGTCACGCTGTGCTCGCCCGACAATTTCAAGAGGCTCTCGACCAAAAGTCGCTCCCGAGCCTCTTCACTACTGGGATCACTCATTTGGTTCCTAAAGACCGGGATACCATAGACCCGAGCAAATACCGCCCCATCACTTGTCTACCCACGATATATAAGACACTAACATCCATTTTGAGCGCGAGAATCACTCGTCATCTGAACTCAAATCAGGTGATGTCGCGCGCTCAAAATGGATGTCGGGGCGGTGGTCGTGGAACCAAGGAACCACTCCTCATTGACGCGGTCATTGGCAAAGTGGTTAAACGCAACCGTCGGAACCTATCCGCCGCCTGGATAGACTACAAAAAGGTATTTGACTCGGTGCCTCATACATGGCTGAAGAGGGTCCTCGAGCTGTACAAGGTTGACTGTACAGTTAGAGACTTCCTCGGGCAGTGTATGGGGCAGTAGAGTACGATCCTTTGTCATCTAGGCGAGCGGATGACGGCTGCGGAGAACCACATAAGGATAAGAAGGGGTATCTTCCAGGGCGATTGTCTGAGTCCAATCTGGTTCTGCCTCTCTCTGAACCCTCTCAGTACCTTACTGGAGGGCTCCGGGAGGGGATTTCAGCTTCGTAAGGGAGGTACAAAAGTGACCCACCTTTTCTATATGGATGATCTCAAGTTATTCGCCTCCAGTCGCTCTCATCTTGTGGAATTGCTAAACATCACTTGTGATTTTAGCAATTCTATTGGAATGGGGCTGGGGACGGATAAGTGTGCGGTCCTCCATGTTGAAAGGGGAAGGGTTGCTAACTCCGAGGGCATAGATTTATCTATGCCCATCAACATAAGGACCCTTTCCGAGGCTGAAACATACCGATACCTGGGTATGTCACAGAACATCGGTGTAGATGAGGCGGGTATGAAACAGTCAGTTTGCGATGTGTTTTATGCACGCTTGACCAAAGTGCTTAACAGCCTTTTGTCCGGTGTGAATAAGACGCACGCATATAACGGTTGGGTCATGCCTGTTCTCATGTATACCTTTGGCATACTTAGGTGGACTCAGACCGAACTAAACGCTCTGGACAGAAAAGTCCGCACTATAATGACGTCCCACAGGATGCATCATCCGAGATCGTCAGTAATGAGGCTGTACTTGCCGCGGAAGCATGGTGGGCGCGGCTTTTTAAGAGCGCTTACCATGCATAATCGCGAAGTGTGCAGCCTCCGTAATTACTTTCTGACGAGAGCGGATGATCCATACTATAGGGACGTTATTTCTTGTGATAAAGGACTGACCCCTCTATCCTTAGCCAACGAGCAATGGCAAGACCCAGCAGTACAGTGCATTTCCGACCGGGAGGCCGTATGGAAGGAGAAGGAGCTCCACGGGAGGTTCTACAAGGCTCTACATGAGCCTTTCGTAGACACAGTCGCCTCCCTTCACTGGCTACGTTTCGTTGACCTCTTTGGGGAAACCGAGGTTTTTGTCTGTGCGATACAGGATCAGGTTATTAAGACCAACAATTATCGGAGATACATCCTAAAGGATGGCGCCGTCGACATCTGTCGAGCTTGTCGCCATCCCGGTGAGTCACTTAGGCATGTTATCTCCGGTTGTTCGGCGCTTTCTAACTCTGAGTATTTGCACAGACACAATCTAGTAGCCAAGATTCTACACCAGGAGCTCGCTCTGAAATACGGTCTCGTGGATCGGAAACTGCCATATTATACGTACTTGCCGGAAGCCGTGCTCGAAAATGACCGCGCCAGGCTCTACTGGGACCGGGCCATTATCACAGACAGGACTATTCTTGCGAATAAGCCTGATATTGTGCTGATGGACCGGGCACAGTCAAGGATATTTTTGGTCGACATTACCATTCCCTATGAGAACCTCGTGAAAGCCGAAACAGATAAGCTGACAAAATACCTGGACCTGGCTCACGAGGTGACCGACATGTGGGGTGGTCTGCCGGCCGAAATTATTCCTGTGGTCGTTTCTGCGAACGGGTTAATCCCAGTTAGCCTCTCGGGTCATCTGAGGCGACTGGGACTCCGTGACGGACCGCTCCAAGCTCAAATGCAGAAGGCGGTGCTCCTCGATACCGCCCGCATCGTCCGCCGGTTTCTTTCTTTTTCCCCCTAACCCTCGGCTGTTTGGTCTCCCCTGCCGAGGGCTTCCATCTGGTTGGGTTCTTTTATATATTTATGTATTTATACTATTTTATTGATATTTATGTATGTTTATATATTTCGTTTATAATTATATATTTAAACAGCCCAACCAGATGAGAAAACTTTATAGATAACCCCAATAATAATAAGACACACGCTTATAACGGCTGGATCATGCCTGTTCTCATGTATACCTTTGGCATACTCAGGTGGACTCAGACCGAACTGAACGCTCTGGACAGAAAAGTCCGCACTATAATGACGTCCAACAGAGTGCATCATCCGAGATCGTCGGTAATGAGGCTGTACTTGCCGCGGAAGCATGGTGGGTGCGGCTTTTTAAGCGTGCTTACTCTGCATAATCGCGAAGTGTGCAGCCTCCGTAATTATTTTCTGTCGAGAGCGGATGATCCATTCTATAGGGACGTTATTTTTTGTGATAAAGGACTTACCCCTCTATCCTTAGCCAACGAGCAATGGCAAGACCCGGCAGTACAGAGCATTTCCGACCGGGAGACCGTATGGAAGGAGAAGGAGCTCCACGGGAGGTTCTACAAGGCTCTACATGAGCCTTTCGTAGATACAGTTGCCTCTCTCCACTGGCTACGTTTTAGTGACCTCTTCGGGTAAACCGAGGGTTTTGTCTGTGCAATACAGGATCAGGTTATTAAGACCAACAACTATCGGAGATACTTCCTAAGGGATGGCACCGTCGACATTTGTCGAGCTTGTCGCCATCCTGGTGAATCACTTAGGCATGTCATCTCCGGTTGTTCGGCGCTTTCTAACTCTGAGTACTTGCATAAGCACAACCTAGTAGCCAGGATTCTACACCAGGAGCTCGCTCTGAAATACGGTCTCGTGGATCGGAAACTGCCTTATTATAAGTACATGCCGGAAGCCGTGCTCGAAAATGACCGCGCCAGGCTCTACTGGGACCGGGCCATCATCACAGACAGGACCATTCAAGGATATTTTATATGACCGGGCACAGTCAAGGATATTTTTGGTCGACATTACCATTCCGTATGACGAAAACCTCGTGAAAGCCGAAACAGATAAGCGAACAAAATATCTGGACCTGGCTCACGAGGTGACCGACATGTGGGGTGGACTGCCGGCCGAAATTATACCTGTAGTCGTTTCTGCGAACGGGTTAATCCCAGTCAGCCTCGGGTCATCTGAGGCGACTGGGACTCCGTGACGGACCGCTCCAAGCTCAAATGCAGAAGGTGGTGCTCCTCGATACCGCCCGCATCGTCCGCCGGTTTCTTTCCCTTTCCCCCTAACCCTCGGCCGTTTGGTCTCCCCTGCCGAGGGCTTCCATCTGGTTGGGTTTTTATTTATTTATGTATATTTTATGCATTTATTTTATTTTGTTGATATTTATGTATGTTTATCATTTTCATTTACAATTATATATTTATACAGCCCAACCAGATGAGTAAACTATATAGATGCCCCAAATAATAATTTTTAATAATAAGTTTCTTTCCCTTTCCCCCGGATCCCTCGGCCGTTTGGTCTCCCCTGCCGAGGGCTTCCATCTGGTTGGGTTTTTATATATTTATGTATTTTTTATGTATTTATTTTATTTTATTCATATTTATGTATGTTTACCATTTTGATTTACAATTATATATTTATACTGCCCAACCAGATGAGAAAACTTTATAGATACCCCAAAATAATAATAATAACCTCCCCACCCATGGGATCACCTTGTCGTGGTGGGAGGGCTTAAGGGAAAGGCATGTACTTAACTGCAGTCAGAACAACTATACTGTGTAGCAATAATAAGCCAGGATTATCTATCTGCCTATTAATATTTAAAGACCCTTTTCCAAACTAACGATCCCAAACCGGGCTGAACAAAAATATGAGTGCACGACGTAAACTACGGCCCCTAGTTCCCGGCAGATCCAGTAACCATATCGACTCTGACGGAAGCTGAGATGGTGCTGTGTCTTGGGGCGCATACAATCTCCGGGCGAGGAAAATATCCCGTCAAACGACTCAAGCTATATCTACGGACATTGATACTCTTAGTGATACTGATAGTTTATATACCCCCAAAAATGATGGGCATAAATCAAAGCCATACACTTTACACCAATCTTTACCTTCCTCATCATCATCACGTAGCCCATTGCTGAAGGATGATGCACAGAAAATAACTTCTGTTATGGATCCTGCGCCCACGATCAGTGAACATAATACGCGTAAGAAATGGACTTCTGAAATGAATGAATTCATATTGCGTACTTACCTCTATTTAACAATGATGGAGACTGACACTATAAAGGTTTTTTTTATATTCTACTAAGCCAGCGCTTATCTACGATCCCACCTGATGGTAAGTGGTGATGTAACCTAAGATGGTGAAGCGCACTGACTTAACAAAAGCCTATTCACTCTTGCCTTGAAGACACCCACACTGTAATCGGATGGAAAGACAGATGCTGGCAACTTATTCCACTCCTTTGATGTGCGCATGATGAACGTCGTGGCGAACTGTTTGGTTCGAATGCGTTGTAAGTCAACAACGAAAGGGTGGAGACTGGCCGGACGTCTGGTTGTCCGATGGTGGAAGGGAGAGGGTGGAATTAAATTATGTAATTCCTGCGCTGGCTACTTTACGTCGATGTTCGAGGCTGGTAAGATTGGTTTTAACCAAATTCGGGTCACCAATAAGCCTCTTAGCACGCCTTTCCATTGAGTCAAAAGCTGCTAGGTGGCATTTTGCAGCACCAGGCGATATATGGCAGCAATACTCCATGCACGACCGGACTTGCGCTTTATATATTATATCCACTGTTTTTCTTGGCATCACTCTTGACGCAAAGCTCCAGTGGGGCCCCCATATATCCAAATTACCAAGCAGACTAAGTTCTGCAGCCTATGCTGTAAAAAAGATTAGAGGTCTCACTAGTGTCGAGACAGCTAGATTAGTTTATTTTAGTTATTTCCATAGCATAATGTCTTATGGGATTTTGCTATGGGGAAATGCGGCTGATTCAGAAACTATTTTTGTTTTACAGAAGAGGGCCATTAGAGCTATTTACAATCTAAAACCGAGAGAGTCTCTTAGAGATAAATTTAAAGAAATTAATATATTAACTTTGGCCTCTCAGTATATTTACGAAAATTTTATGTATGTTCACAAAAACAAAGATAGTTTTAGTAAAAAAAAGTGATATACATTCTGTAAACACTAGGAACAAACACAAGCTAGTGATGCCAGTTTCTCGACTCAACAGAGTCAGTAATTCATTCTTGGGGCAA